TATATGTATATATATATATATATATATATATATATATATATATATGAGTACGAATCATAAATATGTGAATTGTAAAACAACAATTCCAACAGTGGTGTGAACACGGGCAGTAATTTTGCTCGAAATATTACCAATAACAAGACTTATTATTGTGTGTACACCAGTGAAATATAAATATGGCACCCACGTTGTCGTATACCATGGTGGACTGGGAGGATTGGGGTTTGCAAATCGCTCTTATTCGGGGAAATTACTGGAAACGACCGATATTTGAAAACCAAGGGCTTTATAGGTGCATTCTAATTTGACGCCTATGTTACGAGAGCGATTCTAGGAGAGTTATCTCAAGATGCTAATAGCTTATGGAAAGAAAATGAGTGTGGGTAAACGAAAAACTGGTTATGAAAATAATTTACAAGTAAGATAACTGCACAACCGGAATTAGCAACAACCGAAACGACTAACAAGGTAGCTTGTGACTTACTATTACATTATATGGTATTTCTCAATAATAAGCAAAGAAACGCCACCACAAAAAACAATTCAAGCAAAAATATCAAACGACTAACCGTATTGAAAAGTCTTAATTCCATTGGAAAGGCAACTCTGTAGGATAACTTGATAAACCTATTAAGATTTTCTGAGTACTTGAACCGTTTTAAATGGAGGGCTAGAAGTAAGGGTGGTTTTTTGATACGCATACTAAAATAAAATGAAGAGACAAAAAATACGGAGAAAAAACTTAGTACATAATTACCGGTCAAACAGCAACATAAATACATAAAATAATACATAAATACTAATGTAACGTCAATTATGGTGGAAGTGTCACTGCTTACACTACTTCTACAGACTATACTTACTGATTGAAATGACGCCTGACGTTATTTCGGATTACTAAAACCGTGTGATGTGAAATATGTATTTTTGTGACTTGGTTCGGTACACCACTTAGTCTTCAGTTAACATATTTTAAATCAGATAATGAATGCTTTCCCTTTTTACTTAAGCTGACATGAAATTTACGAACCGATATTCTCTTAATCTGTTTTAATACAAGTGTCATTTGGATTGACGTCTTCAAGATAGATCTTGTAATAGGATTTTGGTCACTATCTTTAGTGAGATTTGAAAACTGTAGGGATACGATTTTACACTTGGCGTGCAAAAGGCTTACTAATACTAATTCCACTAGATTGGGACACTACAGAAGACAAAAAATGT